TCGTGGACTTTCACCCGCAAATCAAATGGAAGTTCGACGTTTAGGAATTGAAAAATCTGTGAATGAATTGCTCCCACAACTCGAAGAAATTGAAAGATATACAGCAGAACAATTATCTGGGGCTTACCTGCATTCAAACTCAGATTCAGTATCATCCAGTAAAGGTTGTGGAAAGGATAATTACTCAGGCAATACAGGTATGACCGAAACTCAAGTTAAAAACTTAATAAAATCTGCTATGGAATCCACACAATCTCAACAGGCACAACCTCAGCAAATCACACAAGCACCCCGTCCCTATTATGGACCACAACCTACTGGAATATATCAAAAGATACATGATGAAAATATCAGTAGATTAATACAATGGATTACTGGAGAAATCCCTGATTTTAATCCTGTTCCCAAACTCGCTTTGCCTCCAAAACCAGCGATAAAGAAAGTTGAAGTTGACTCTAACGAAGAACTGGCCAATCTCACACAAAGTCAATTAAATTTACATGTGGCTAAGGCCGTTAAAAAAGCCATGAAAAAAACATCCCAGCATAAATATTCTATTTGCAACAAAACTGGACATAATTCTCGCAATTGCCCTAAAAATAAGAAGAAAAGTAAATCCAAGAGTAAATTCAAGAAAAAAGGTAAGGTTAATATGATGCTAGCTCTTCTGATAATGAATCCAATTCTGGCTCTGATTCTGAGTCTGGTTCTGAATCAGAATCTGATTCTGAGAATGACTTAACTGAGACTGAAATCTCAAAAATTATCAATGCTGTTAAATCAAAAAAAAGTAAAGCCGAAGAGTAAATCATCCTCTAAAAAGAAGTCTAGTCCAAAGAAGAGACAGAGTCTTGAATCTCCGATTCAACGTACTTTACAAAAGAAATCAGGTACAATTATCAACTCACAAATTCGAAAAATTATTCTAGTTATGTTTAACGATCCAGAGGTTATAGAAACGATTAAAAACAATATTAATAATACGAATGTATCTATTGCAAAACCTGACTTTATAAATTATCGAGAGCCAGTCTCTGAGATATCTGATTCAGATGGAGAAGAGGAAACATTTGATGACCCTATGGAAATTGATTTTGTTAAAAAGAAAGAACCTCATACAAGTATTGCAACTATACTATGTAAAATTAAACGCTTAAAAATTCCAGCATTGGTCCTCGATAGTGAAGCTGAGCCTTCAATTGTGTCAGAAGATATTGTTAAACGTGTGGGTTGGGCAATCGATAAATCGGAAAAGTATGATCTCAGTGGTGTTGCTACTGTTTCAACAGAATCTATTGGTGTTGCTCGTAATTTTCCAATAACATTCCCTCCAGGTTTTACTATACGTGAGGATTTTGTAGTTGTATGACCTCCTAAATCAACATTGATATTCCCAAATCCACTTCTCAAGAAATATAAATGCGCCTTAGATTGGGGTAAAGATGAGTTAAAAATTCCTTTTAATGGGAAGGATCACATTATTCCAGTTACTATGCACAAAGTAAAGAATAAACTTGAAGTGAATTGCGCTACTGCATCTCAGGATGATAAGTCTTTGGTATCCGATCAAATTTCTCAAGAGACGGATAGTAATGAGAGTGATGTTACGAGTGCAATTCCAGCGGTAATAAAATAAAGTGCAAGATCAAATGTAATTGCACAGTAACAAGTAAAATTATATTAAAGTTGTTAATAAAGTTGTTAATAAAGTTGTTAATAAAGTTGTTAATAAAGTTGTTAATAAAGTTGTTAATAAGCTCCTGCTCTAAGCAACAAAGATATTTTGTTTAAGTATTGTAATTTAAAGTGACAATAATTTGTCCCAAAGGCCTTGTAGCAGTTAATAAAAGTTTAGTAATATTGCTTAAGCT